GAGGATGATGCTTTTGGGAATAAAAAAAGGAAGCGGAAAATCTGGCATCCTTGCAGGAAAGAACAGAAGAACGTTCAACCAGAACTGGCACAATCAGTAGAAGGACCCTCGGCAACATTTTAGAGAGAGCAACGGAGCATCAATGGACATGTCCGAAGTGCAGGGATGTTGCTTCCTGAAACAAGAACAAGAACATGAACAAGACTTTGTATGAAATCTACAGGTTTTTATCATCAGCAGTCTGTATATCTGCGGTTACTTGTGGTTGTGCAATTGAAGGCCTCAGTGGAATACTTTATTTCTAGAAGATACTGGAAATGTGTTTCATATAGAAGGTTTCAGACTTTGTCACTGAGGACTTTCTTTCAATTGAAGAAATGAACTGTGTCAGCGATATTTTTGATATATGGATATCCCTTTTTTTTATTAACATATACTAACCTAGAATTACAAAGTAATGCTCAGTATCTTGTTTTGAGAAATTTGACTTTTAAAATTTTGAGTTTCACATGTAAAACTTTTTCAAATGCAATTCTTGGAATATCTTTATAACAGCTCCAAATAATCTTACGATTTTGATAGAGCAGATGGAACATTTGGTTTTTGACCTCATGGTTTCTGTAACTCAAAACGTAAAAAAACGTCAGATGAGGTAGCGAAATGCTAACCGTATTGAATAAAGGTGGAAAATGATGCTTGGCAAAATGCCAAGCTGTGTTATATGACAATTTGCAGCTCTTAATTCCTGCAGGTTCCAGGTTAAGACTTTTCTGGTGGTGGTGCTGGCTACAGGTTTGCATATCGTGTTTCCTGGACAGGCTTTTTAAAAATTTGCAGTTGTAGTCCCTGATTACCAATTATGTCTGGCAAGAAAATCCAAAGAATTTTCATCAGTGTCTGTGTTGTAGTGGTTAAGTGCTTCACTATTGCTCACCGAATATCAAAGTTTGATGTGGTGAGAATGTTTTTTCCAGTATCTTGGTCTGTCTACTGGGATATTGTACCCCTGTCAGCTCGTGTTGATTCCAATAGGTAGAGTTGAAGCTGACCTTGTAAATGATAGAAATAAGGTCAATGGGGGTGTAAAAAAACACCCATATTGAAAAAATAGGATTCTCATTAGGCACTTGTACCTGAACATCTGTATCTTCTAGATGATGGTCCAGTAAAAGAGGCCTCTCAAAGGTTTGGAACATCTTAATCTAAGAAATTGTGTCGGGGTGTAGAAACTTTAAATTTTGTAACAATGACACTTGTGCTCTTCTTCAGATCCTTGCAGACTCATGCTTCTGTGCCAGAGGATCAGAGGAAAGTCTTGGGGATCTCGGACAACATGATCCGTCTCTCCGTCGGTCTGGAGGACACAGAGGACCTCATCAAGGACCTTGAGCAAGCGTTGAAGAAAGCTGTCAACTAGAGCATGGAAGCTGTTACAGTGGATTGTCTAGCCAGAGCTCTATGTAAGTGTCTTAGCAGGCCCGCCAAATACTCTAATAAAATTGGAGCCCTCTGATTTTTTTCCCCCCCTTGAAGAACCCTGATAGGTTTTGCATTAAATTGAATTTGTTTCTTGAATTCCGTTTCCATCAGTGATGTGCAACTTTTTGTAAATTACATGGAAGTACATTAGTTTAATTTGCAATATTTGCATGACTTTTATTGTAAATGATGTGACTTTAAAATACTAATTTTTTTAGATTGGGGGGGGGGGGGGGGGGGGGGGGTGGTATTACTATACTCCTTTAAATTTGCTACATTGGGTTTGTAAAGTTTTAAAATTATCTTAGTCTACTGGGGGGCTGGAGACTTAATTTTTCCCCCCAAAAAAACTCTGATTTTTTGGGAAGATTCTGAAGAAAACTATTTGCAGTCATTGAGTGGTCTGCAGGTGTGCTTCTTAACTCTACCGTATGCCAAATGCTGTTGTGCACTGGGTTAGAAATCTGATCTGCCAGGTGCAAATTCAAGGTTCAAATCTGAATGGGATTCAAATTGTTTTTCTCCTCCTTCCTGGAAAATTTCTTCTTCAGTTTTTGATCTGACAGAGGACTAAATGAGTGATTGACCAGTCTCAGTAAATACCAACATTATGCTACCAGTGCCAGACCTGGACATTAAGTATAACCCATGAAAGCAAAATCACCACATGCGAAATGAAATGTCTCCGCAAAACCCTAAACATCACAGGACGAGACAGGCAGAGAAATGAAGAAGTAAGAGCAGCTATCGGCATTGAGTCCTGCCTGCATTACATAGAAAGACAGATAATAAAATGGTTTGGCCACCTGTCAGATATGTCACCTGACAAGCCAGCCTCGAGAGCCCACAACATCAAGCACTCAGGCTGTAAAGGAAGAGGAAGGCCACGCAAAAGGTGGATTGAGGGTGTCAAGAAAACCCTGAGAAAACATAATATCACAACTGAAAGAGCTACAGAGCTGGCCTACCATAGAATACTGCATCTCCCCTCGACGCTTAACGGCAGCAGAGGATGAAAAAGTAATAATAAGTAAGTAAATACAGTCAAAGTTGTCTGGCGGCCACCCATTGTCGAGGAGAAAAGTAGTTGTCTTTCGCAGATGGCCACTTAACACACTGTCATTATATTGTAAAAAATGGCAACGGGGGGAAATAAGAAGTTGTTGCATGTTCAGGTGATAGTCTAATACAAGTTGCCATTAGAGCAGTTTTGACCGTACTTTTGTAACTGAACGCTGCATGATGAGCTCTTTTGGTAATATTGTTGTTGATGCTATAATACTTAAAAGTTTAAACATTTCCTCTCTAAGAAGAAAAAGAAATGGTTTTAAAATTTACTCTCTTTCATTTGAAGGGCTTCTGATCCAGTGCAATGCTATCAGTCGAAGGAGGAGCGGAAAACTGTTGCGAAGGATGGAGTTGGAGTTACAGCAAGGTCCCATCTAACTAAAGAGAGGAGTCTCAGAAAGAATAAATATGTTGAATTGAAAGTCCCAGTGAGTTTGTAGAGAACCAGATTTAGTATCCAATTGTTGTTGGGAAGCTAGCTTTTTATTTATGATTCTGGTCCTGCCTTGTTGATAAACTGTGATAATTTTATAAAGAGTAAATAAGAAGTACTGCCTACCTGTGTAGGCCCATGTAATTCCTTCACAGCGTTGTTGCTGATTTTCATGTTTCTTGTTCTGCCATAAGAATTATTTACTAAAATGGAATTGGTGAACTATCTTTATTCAGGGATATTCTCTACGATTGTTTGCTGTATTCGCAAAGACTACTATATTGACTGCTGTTTGAGGGTTTGCTATTATGTTTTGTTTTGTTTTTTTGATTAAAAAAATATTTGTGATGTCTGTTTTCTACTCTACCTCACATTCCAATCCTAATAATATATTTTAGTGAAGTGCATCTTTTAGTAATCTTTCAATACAAAGTTTGTATGAAATATATACAATATTAATTATTAGGTAGACATTTTATCTCTTTATTCGTTTTTTTTTTTGTTTTAGCCAAAATTATAATGAATGGTCAAGTTTCTGAAAATTACTGCCAAAATGGTTTACATAAAACTGTTCAACAATATTGTTTCACCTTGAGAATTATGAGATCTTCAGTATCAATTTATTTTTCTGTTTGTGTAAATGGACTGATTTGTGAATTCCTGCATGTATGAATAAATTTTCTAATTTTTTCAGAATGTCCCATTTTTTTACTGGTCCTATTTTTTTGGTGCTATTTTAGTTCACAGGGACCCACTGAAGGTTATTCATTAGACATGTCAACTTACTGTGATATTGTAACTCATCAGACCCTTTTCAAGGTTCATTTCTCCCCTTTCCACTCTGCAGATGCCTCTTGTTAGTGTTAGATTTATCCCATACATTGCTGCTCTCTGTGTGAAACGCCATACATTTTGTTTGAGATTGGAACAGTTGTTGAATCTCGTAACTGATGGAATAAACATATGGTTGGTATGAAAGCAAATCATAGTGTCTCTTCTTTTTTAACTAGACAAGATAAGAAGCATTTATATATGTATCTGCATAAAAATTAAAAAGAGGTGAATGTTTTGAAATAAATTGAAATGGGTGGGTGGTTGGTGGGTGCTGTGGTCTGGTTTTCTCCTTCTTTCCTATCAAAACCTATGGTCCTGAGCTCTCCTCCTTTTTGTGTTTGTTGCTCTCTTCTTCTTCTTCTTCTGGCTGGCCTCCGTCAGGTAAGCGGCAACCTCTTGTGGCCTCGTCCAGAGTACATCCGGGCCCGGTCTCGCGTTGTTCTCCATAAGTGGGCCTCGATGTGCTTCCCCCTGCGGGCACTCATACAGTGCGTGGTTGATTTCGACGTCACCGGCCATTATTAACAGGAGACTCAGATCAGCCGGTTCGGCTGAGCCTCCGGACAAAAACTCGGTCGCCTCCGTTCCTGTCTGAATCGAGGGGTTGATTGGCGTTCGGCCCGGAGCTGTACTTGTTCCGGGGTCTGCAGCACCGTGTAGAGGTCCCAATAATGACTGCAGTGTTGCTCTCTTGTAATACCTCTATTCTTTGGCACGTATATATGATCTTATTGTGTTGTAAGTGCCATAAAACTCTTACTAAAACTAAAGAATTGAAACGACTGATAGACTCTATGGCAACTGTCATTGCTGTTTCATCTTGAAAGCTGTGGGTAGTTAATTAAAGTGTAAATGTTTTATGCCCACATTGGCAAAAGTTTGGCTGCTTCAGTCCTGTCTGTCAGGGCCTACCCAGGCTCAGAGGGACACAACATCACAAAGGACAGACGAACATACCTGATTAAAAAAAAAAAACTTCCTGTATTGGAATTGATCTCTGGTATTCTAAAACAGGTGACTGCAAAGTAGCTGAGTGTTACTGGGATTGGGTTTTTTTTTCATCACAGACCGCGGTGCATTAGGTAGGCTCAGTACTGTACTAAGAGTAGCAAGAAAGAAGGGGGTGGGGTAACATGTTGTAATCTACACCACAGTACACAGATGAGGACATGTGAGCATACTTCCTTACCAAGGCAGTGAGACATATCTTTGACAAAATGAAATTTTTTAGTTTAATTGGTTTGTTGCACTAGTCTTGCCCATATCCTTCCAGCATCAAAGGCATCCGAAATACTACTTTTCTAAGTTGAAAAGATATGTTTGAGACTGATGTCGATAAAAAATGTCAAAAGTTTTTCACTTATTTCTCAGAAAAATGAAATGTATAGTTACGTCTCTCTGCCACTGGACGGTAGCATAGATAACATGTTCATGAAAAGGATAACGTTCAGAAAGTCATCATTTTTTTCCAGGATCTGATTTTAAAAAATTACTTAAAATTTTTTAAATATTGTAAATCTAGATCGACACAATTTAGATCATTCTAGAGCTGGGGTTCAACCCTGCCTGTCAGGGCCAACATAGACTGAGAGGGATACACCATCCCAGCATAAAAGACTGAGAGACTAAAAAAAGACTCCCCACTTCAGAATCGAAATCGGGTCTCTTGTGTGCAACTGTAATATGCCTAACCACTACACCACAGACGCTGGTAAGATCGGATCAGAATAAAATAACTGTTGAAATACTGGAAATACAGCACAAAGAGCAGATGACATAACTGACCAAATCAAAATAATGTACAATGTATCAGTAAAGTGAATAAACTACACGAAAGACCTATGAAGAAAAAGATCAATTTTCTTTCTTTCTCTCTCTCTCTCTCTCTCTCTCTCTCTCTCTCTCTC